TGATTAAATTTAGTAAATAAGCTGGTAGTTTAAACATAACTTTATCAATTTATCGAACAATTTTCTTAATCAATTTTGAAACAAATTAAATGCACCTAACAGCATTTTTGGGCACACTTATATTTAAAACGGCAAAAAATTCAAAAAAAATTATTTTCTTTACATAATTTACTGATTTAACATTTCTATTCTATTTTCACAATATTTAAAAAAAATTATAATAATTAATCGTTTACATTTATCAAAAATTTCATATATTTTATCTTATATTTATTATTAAAGATTATATCATTATTATTGCTTAATTCAGGACAATATAAATTATATAAAAAAAATATATTTAATTGTTATTCGTATAAAGGAAAAAATACACAAAAGCCTTGTAAAATTAATTGCTTGCATCGGGAGACATAATTTATGTTAGCAAAAAATGACATGAAGTGCGATAAAAAAAAATTAGAAAAACTATCGTGCTATTCTCAATTCAAAACAACAGCAAGCGACAAGCAGATTATGCTAATGCATGGAAAGTAATTTAGAAAAAGAATTGAAACTGAAGCATTTTCATGAAGTTTCAGCGAGGGGTGCTCGCTCATTAGTATAACAAAGATAGATGCACACTCCGTTCCCCCCAGCGCACTTAGCGGTGTTTTATATTTTAGAATACACATATATATACTTTTATGACTGCAGCGACAGAGGGGAGCTGTAAGTTGGATATAAAAATGAGGGAAAAAAATGAATAAAAAGTAGCTGCAATATTTGAAATTGAAGCGGGTAAGCCCGAAGAGCGCAATTTGTGCGCAGCTAACACTAAAAGCTGATGTTTCGGAAAAAAAAGAACCGCGATTGCACGGGCTGACAGTCAGTGAACTCACTCACTGTGCAGTTCGCATTACTCAAATGTTAATTTTTTTATTTTTATTTGCTCGTTGTTGTTTTTATGTGATAAAACACTGATAAGCTCGGCTTCTGTGGAGTGTAGTTGTTGTTGCAATCATGTGCATTGCATTAAGTTTTATTACACCACTCGCTGCCTTATTTCAATTTCAAATTTGCCACATGCGGTTTTATTTCATATCGTTTTAAATTATGAAATTGTAATAAAAAATTAGGAATTTTTTAAGTTCAAATTTCTTTGGGTAATTCCACTTTAAATTTTTTTTTTTTACAAATATTCTAAATGTTTGAGTAATAATAAAAAATTTTATTTTGAAATAATATGAAGATTGGATTGCATTTAATTTTTTTAATTATAATTTTATTTTAATTTTTTTTAACAGTCTTTCGAGAAATCTTATATGAGTTTTACTGGAAATTCTGCTTACTACAAAATATGCGAATTTATTATGGCACATCATAAAAAGTTATTGTGTTTCAAAATGTAATATGATTTTTACTGCGCTGCTTTGGTACATTTGTATGTACATATGTATTTGTGTGTGCATTTGGGCTCAACTAGATGAACCGCAGATCGCAGGTCCATCCGTCCGTCCTTCGGTATGCTAGCTAGCCTGTGGCTTTCTTGTTAAAGAGCCTTTGATGGCTTGCTTGGCTCAGCTCGCTTGTTTGCCTGGTTGTACGCCTTCGAAGCTGAGAACTTTTATGTGCTGCGTCGCTGCTTCTCTTGTTTCAGTTTTTATGATTGTGTAGCGCTTGTTGACTTGACACCAACGTGTATATTTAATTTTTATGATTTTCATAATCAACTCTGTGGTTGTGGTTGCTTTTGTTTTACGCAGTTCTAGCTGTTTATTGATGTTATTATTGTTATTGTACAGAATTTATATAGCACCTACATAAGTATGTGTGTATAAGTGCATAGCTGTCAAATAGGTACCTTTGCCAGCATATTGAGGGCGTAATTTTAATTGCTTTTACAGTGAATTGTACATATGTACATACATATGTTTGTAGGTAATTGTAAGACAGAAATCACTAAAATTTGAATAATATTACCTGACACAGGATGTTGTAAGTGCGCATATTTAATCGAAATTTTTTATTTATTTTTCAATTTCGCATTATGTACGAGTATATAAACAAACAAATGTGTGTAGGTATGTTAAAGTTTTTTTCGCCCGCCTGCAATGCTTTAATTATTTTTCTGCACTTGAATTAATGCTGTTGTCTTTCTCGTTGACAGTTTGCATTCATATACTTCTTCTTTATTTTAATTGCTAATTATTAAAAAAAAGTGTGAAATATTTCGAATTTTTTATTGGCAATTTATGATTGGAAAAATATTTTAAAATTATATGTTAAACTTTCTCGTATAATTAATATTTTTATTATATTTTGCTTTTTTTTAGCATTGAAGATAATATAAATAAATAAATAATTTAATTTGAGATAAAAGAAATTGACTGAGATAAAAAATTTTAAGTTTTACAAATAAATAATATTAAAAAAATAAAAAAATGTATTGTATAAATAAGTTCTTTTCAATATATAATTTGGTTATATAGGTAAAAACATATACATTTGGAAAGCGTAATTCTGAATCCAAACATAATTTTTAATGTCTCAATACGTAACTGAAATTCGCAAATTATTTATAAGAAAAAATAAAAAAATTTTAAAAATGTTCCAATTTTTCAATAATACTTATATAGAAAAATTAATAAAAAAAAAGGTTATTTTTTGAATTTTTAGAGACATAAATTAGAATTAATTTATTCTATGCTGTTTTTATTTCATATTTTAAATAATAAAATAATTAATTTTTTGGTTGAAAATTTTGTAAAATATAAGCATTTTTAGAGTTTTTAGAATAAAATAATTAAAAAATGTTAAAAAAAGTCAAAAACGGTTTTTGTATTTTAAAAATTATAGAACGAAAAAAGATTGAAACTGCTCTTAAATTTAGGGTTTTTTAATTTGCTTTCTATTTTCTTTAAATTAAAATTTATTGAACTGCTTCGAAAATTCTTAATTTTGAAAACTTTATGGAATTTAGGAAAAAAATTTTTTTCTCAATTATAAAGTTAAACTTTCAAATAGAAAGCTTAACAAAATATATAAAATTTTTTCTTTGGTTTATTTAAATCAGTGTGTTGAAATTAAAATTAAAAAATATCAAAAAAAATGTTTAACTAAATTATTTGTTATTACATATATATTTTTTTCTTTAAATATTCAATACTTCAACTTCCTTAATGAAATTTCCAAAATTGAAAATAAGCAAATATGGACGATTACTCTAATCGTTTATTTAATTATTTTTGTTTTATATTTTCAAAAACATCAAATGACTTTTACTTACATAATTCAGAATAAGGGCTCACAAATAATTTTTTTTTTTTTAATATCAATTTTTTTATTGCAAAATTGTTCTGATCTTAAAATCCAAGAAAAAAAAATAAAAATATTCAAAAAAATTTATTCTTTTATAAATATAGGAATTAAGAAAAATTAATAATTATTTTTTTCTTAAATTCTTTTGCCAATAAGTTGGAGAAATATTTAAGCAAGATAATAAATACTAAGAAACTTCATGAGAACTAAAAGAAAATGGGTTCGGACCTGATATTTACACCAAAGGAAATATCTTAGTAAAAAAATGTAGGAAAAAAAATTAATTAATTGATTTTTGGAAATAAATAGAAGGAATAAAAAAATACCAGTTTTTTCTCTGACTAAGCGAAGAAAATAAATAAGTATGTATATTCAAGAATTTCATCCAGCAAGCCTATTCTTTTAGAGAATCTTTGTTTTTTTCTCGTTGTTATTGTTTTCTCCTTAATTTCCTTACAAATTAATGTCAGCTTCTGTTTAGTCTTGACAGCGTCAAATTAATATTGACATTATTTTAATACAATTAGGCCTCAGGCACACTTATATGCAACCTCGTACAAACGTAATTGCGACCGAAATTCATAATTAGAATTTCTCAAATAAATATGCCGCTCCCTTGATGACCCAACGATTTTGGCCATATATTCATGATATGATATATACAAACGTATGTTTTTAAAAATATGCACCTATGCCCATATGTATATTGGTATGTATGTAACTCCTTTGCAAACTGCTTGCCTACGCAGCATACATAATGCTGCCACACACACACACACACACTGACACACACACAAACATATGTTCATTGATTTCCCTAAACCCTATCTTGTGGTGGCAGATAAATAAATAGGCTTTTATGATTTGCCGCCACAAAGCTGGATAAAATTAAATATGTATGTACACATACATACATACACACATACATATGTATATTTGTGAAGTTTGCAAAAAAAAAGCGCCCATGGCCACGCATTGCTTTGCGGCCCATTCAAATGTCAAATGTCATGTCAGTCAGTGGCGACAGCTAACTAAAGAAAAGGATAAGAAGTAGCGCGCCACAGCAAAATAAAAATAAAAAGTAACACAAAAAATGAGGAAAAGAAAAGGAAACGAAAAAAGACAAGAAAGTGAAAATCCTACAGCCTGCCGGTCCACTATCTACATTGGCTTTTTGCGCATCTTGTCATTCGCTTGCAGCATTCGCCCAGCAAATGTACGAGTGTGTATGCGCTTTTCACTCCCATGATGTTCCTTCCTCTGTTATCTGGCATCTGTCCTATGCCACTAGCGCTATCTGCCTACAGCAAGCTTTAAATACATATATCATACATAATTGCGTTGCCCTTAAATGGTTGGGTTTTCGTAGTGATTTTCTTCAAGTTGAGCTTATAAACAAATTTTCTTTGAGCGAGGTATCAGAAGGGACTCGGCTTCGGAAACAAAAGTTTAGTCTAACCCATAATCATTTCTCGTTAGACTCCACGTTAAGCGGACTAATTTAAAAAGCGCCATTGGAGTGAATTTTCTGCCTACCATGAGTTAATCTCTTTTTCAGCCGCAGATTGTCAATTACATTTTTCCAATTTTTGTTAATTTTTCTTTTTTCTTTTATTTATACTCGATTTCTTCAGCACCCTCTTTCTTTCTATTATCTACTGTTTTCTGTGCCTATCATCGTTATGTGGCAGCCCACTACTCACCTTTCTATAGCAACTTTGGCGGCATCTGAAGAGATCCTTGGAGCTCACTGCCTCCGCATTTAAAAATCCCAGCAGCGTTGTGACAGCGAATGCCATTATTAGGGTGGCGTTGATTTTCTTTTTTGTGAACATTTTGTTGAGATTTTTGCTTTGATTAGCTTTGCTTTAGCAGGAGTTTTTATTCCTTTTACTTTACTTTTCTTTTTACTTCTTTTTTGCTTTGCACTTTTAAGGGCTTTGAACTGATTTTGCTTTCTTAGGATACAAGATTTTCGCTTTCGGAATATTTTCACTTTGCACTTTTCAGTTGAACTTTATTTCTTTTTTCTTTGTACTTCACACTTTAGTATTGGAGAATTTTAGAAGAGATATCGGTTGACTTAAAATTTACGAAAATTTCGAATTTGGAACACTTTTCAGGGTGTTTTCTCAGTGTTCTTTTGCTTTCTGAATTATATTGGTATTTATTCTTTTTCTTTTCAATGGTTTGTGTGATTTGAAATCATTGAGCTTCGTTGACCGTCTTCAGTGTTTGAATAAATTTCTTGAACCAAAATTTTTTAAACAGTTATTAATAGCATTTTTTAGTTCAAAATTCAATTATTTCACAGTTTCAAAACAGTTTAAAACAGTTACTAAATTATGGCGGTATTAATGCTGTTTCTCTCAATATTATTTTGTTAAAATTTATTTTCAAATTTCACGTAATTCCTCTTCTCCTTCTTTAGTGGCTTGATTATTTCAAACTTATTTTAGCCAATTTTTTTTTTCAAAATTTTCAATGAAATTTTCTCAACTGTTTTCAAACAACACTCTGTCGCAAAAACATTTTGCCGTCGCTAAAACCTTTGCTTCGTCTTTAACAAATATCCAATTGCACAAATACTTTCAAAACCTCTATGAACATATATACAAGTATCTCTTGCATATGTGTCGAGAGAGACCAAGTATGCGAAACACGATTTTTCCCACTGCGATATACACGTAAAATACGACGACAAATAACACCGTAGCCGTTTTATAGAAGCTGAGAACACAGAGGAAATTATTGGACAAAGAAAATTTCACCAAACAACACGTCAACAACTCACGACCGCTCACGACCAACTGAAGCAACTGGCTGCAACGACAAACAATTTAAAAACTATGTATTCTATACGAAACGCATACGCGCATACACCAAACACCAACGACGGCGGCGACGACGACCAGTCAACCAAACGGCAACGAAGCAACCGAAAAATACCAGTCAACCAAGTAGTCTAGCTTCCAAGCACAAAGTAGCTAGTCAGCAAGTGATAGATCGACCGAATGAACGAAAGAACGAGCGACACAACAGCATAACATTCTCAACGAAGCAGACGACGAGGATGGTTGCAAGGCAAACCAGACCTTCGGCGATATGTAAAGCCGAACTTACAGCAAAATTTGCACCGAAACGTTGTAACAAATCGCATTGGTAAATGCAACGAAGTTGGATTGTTGTATGGATGGCTGGCTGGTAGGAGAATACCGGTTGAAGAAGCAGCTGTAGACGGCAAGAAGTCGTTGTTGATACCATGAGCTGTAGATACTCAGCCCGTCGGTGGTGTGTACATTTAACTTTCAGTGGATGGCGGGTAAATTTCATTTGCGAGTGTATGGCTTCAATAGCCTAAGCAAGTGGTAGGGGTTCCAAACATGTTTGAACGCAAGTGAGCTCAATTGTTCGTAGATGTAGCTGGAAAACCGGTTTTCGTCGAGCATGCAACATGCAACTACAACGAGCACTGCAGAAAAGTGTAGAGAACATGAAAAGCTGTGAATGCCAACAGAGAGTTGTGCAGACAGTACTCAATATTGATTATTGCCAACCACTGTTTGCAGACATTTTCGGAAAGAATTTCATTAGTAAGCATTTGGAGCAACAAGCTGAGCTGTAGATACACACGAAAAAAACTTTTCTGCTATTCTTTTGATGTTGCACAGCAGATATTTATAATAAATTCGCCGCAGCATAACATACGCGGTGTGCAACAGAATTTTTGCAGCAATTAGTGGCATGTAAAATATATATTTTGAAAGAGTTTTGATAAAGGGTTCTTTTAGCAAATAATTTATGCCACAGCCTCTTAATTAATCTTTTTGACCTCAGGCTATTGGTAAGGTCCTCAGAACAAGCAGTTTTCAAAATAAGTATTACAAAAAAAAAAAAAAAAAAAATATCAAATTCGCTGTATTTATCATGATAGCCTATGGAACCACAAGCTACCCGAGATCCGAAACAAATCAAACTCAATTGCACCTCATGTCGATAGAATTTCGGGAAGAAGAGCTGAATAATTTTGTGTTTTGAATAGAAGAGAGAAATGCTTAAGTGTTTGAAAATATTAGATCGCTACGCGATAGTCCACGAACATTTTCAAGCCCCATCCGTGAAAGCAAATGATTTTTTTGGGAACTTTATGATATCTTCATTTCCGAAATTCCCCCAGAGATCATTCCCGAGGTGAGCTTTATTTAGGCCTTGGTTTCACAATCATGCCATTTAAAACATTTCCTTCTGCTTATGGTTATTGTAAGGAATTCTAGCAAATTCAAATAGGTACTGATTAAAATTTTTCACAGTCCAACTCAGCTGTTACCAACATGTTCGACACAAATCAGAATTTTCGAAAACTGTTAAGGGGAAAAACAGTAATTCGAATATGTTGGCTTGCCTGTCACCATTGGATTGTGTGTTCATACAAAAGTTATCTTATAGATACGCGAAATTAGCCAGCAAATGAAGAAAGAACAGCGTTCGATGCAACATGTTGCGAGTGTTGGCAGGCACACATGTTGCCGTTGCTGCGTCTAGAAGATACACAAATAGTAATGCATTTTTTGTTTTTGTATTTGCTGATATGAATTTTTAGTTAAGCGCGCTTTACACGCATTTCCTGTTGCTGGCATTTATTGAAGGTCATTTTGGGTGAATGAGAGGGTGCGTGTGTGTGTGCATGTGTAGTGCGTATGCAAGTGAGGCCGGGCAATTGGACTGCGCAGTCGAAAGCCAATAAGGGGGAGTGCGCAATTGCAGGCGAAAAGTGAGCGAGACATAAAAAATATTTAGTTAGATGTTAAAGAGAATAAAGAATGAATCGGTGAAAAGAATTAAAAATATTAAAATTTAATAATTGTTTTAAACTATTTTATAATAATTATTTTTTTATATTCCAATGCTATTTTTCGCTTTAATTTATAAAAGAAAAAAATAATCTAAACCTGCCCAAAGGTCAAAGACACTCTGTCGCTAAGCACTTTGCTTGCCTATTTCCCTTACTATTTTCTGCAAATCACACACTTGTGAAAACATGATGGCAATTCTTTTATTTAAAATTCATCGTTTGTGCAATTTGAACTCTCCTCCACATCCCTGCCTGTTGAAAATGCTGTTCTATTGTTTAGATACTGTTTTGTTGCATAAGCTTCTGATCTTCGACGGCTACCTGCTGCGTGCTGCGGTAGCTGTTCTGAAGTGTTTATATATTTGTATGTACATACTCGAACATAAATATATAATACGTGTATGTGTGTGTGCGTTAAGAAAAACGAAAAAAAATCAATCTTAAAAACAAAACTGAAAATGTTGACAAAAAATCTAAAACTAAATCAATTCATACATCCACTCCATCCACCGAACTACCTGTTCCACTCAGGCGATTAACGAAAAAGATACTCACGCACAATTGGACTAAAAACTGGTTTTCTAGCGCAACAGACAGTCGGCGGCTATCGGGTCTGGTCTCTCTTCTTAGAATGTCAATTCTTTTTTGTTTTTTACTGTGTGTTTTTCCTCATTTCGGCTTTAGCATTCGGCGTATTTTTTTGTTTTAAATTTTTTTTAATTGTTTTGTGCATGTATGTATGTATTTAAATCTGTTTGTTGTTATTTGCTACCTTTTTTGTTTGATTGTTCTTTGTTGACGTTCATTGGTGCAATGTTTGTGCCTTGAATTTGCGCAAATAATTAAATGTTATTTCGGTTCTTAGAAAAGTTGAAGACGTGTATGTATGAAACATTGAAAAGAAAAGATCATTTTCCGAAGGACTTTAATTTTTTTTTTAAATTTAATATTTTGCAATAATTAATTACCGTTGACGGCGCAGGTATTTGGCTTGTCATTAGGGTTCTAATTGGTGTGGGGGCTTTTTTCTGCCTTCCTGATATCAGTACTAATCACGAGTTTATCTGGATGTCAAGACCCGCGTAATCTTGGGTTAAGGCTGTCGCAGTAATTTACCTCATCAGCCAGAGAACTTAGAATAAGTAATTTATGTTAGAATATGCTATTATAAGTTCTCTGCTCAGATTGTTCAAAATATGTTGGATATTCATAAAGTTCCCACACGAGGCTTAACACCTTTTTTGTATACCCTTCTAAACGATTTCCTATTACAATCTTCACCCCTATATCTACCTAAGATGACTTGTAGATAGGAAAGGGCAGAAATAGATCTGTGTTTTAGCGTATCATTCATAGCTGCATCCCTGTATTTCCTAGTTAAATTCCTGCTACTAATTCTGCTCGTTGGTGATTCTAGTACGTTATGGCTTGTCATTAGGTCTGCATTTGTCCTGCAGTCCTTTCGAGACCTTAGTACGTAGGACAATGAAGTGTTTTAATGTCGGTAAAGCCTTTTATCTCACGCTGATTCGTCTTCCAGCTCTCTTGGAAGTTTCAATACACTGCGTCTTTACTTCGGTAGCCAGGTGAAATCTCTCTTCCGGTCTATAAGCCAGTTTATATGCAGCTGCTTTTCAGTAGCTATTTTATTTTTCTCCCTATCTCTACGGACATTTGATGTAGCGAAATGTGAGCTTATTGTCAATGTAATATGTTTCGTTCTATGGCTTCAAGCAGTGCTGGGCCCGCTAAGCAACTTTCCATATCGCGAACATCTCCCCCCTAGAAAATATTGTAGTACTCCGGAAGCGTAAAGGTTTGCTTGATATGATAAGAATCTCTGAGCCGTTCATTTATCACCTTTCATAAGAATTAACTCCGCTTTCTTCCAGGTTTGGTGGAGGGATAATTGCAGCTTTCATAGACTTACTCTACTGAAGGAGATAGTTTATTTTTCTTTATTTTATTTTGGAAATTTCTCAATTTTGTGCGGATAAAATCTTTCACAAAAACTTTCAGTGATCTCACTAATTGAATGTGTGTGAACAGCAAATTCACTGAAACAATTTAAAGCTTAATTGCCATAGCTCATTGTCCAATTCGGACATGCACTTACCAAAATTAGTCTGCGAAGCTTCAGCTGCCCTCAAAACTCCAAATCAAGACCTACCCAAATTCCAATTAAAACAAGTTTCGTTCTCATCAGGCACACAATTTCTGATTGCTTAGAAAGTATTTGAAATATTCCATTAACGCCGCATAAAGAATGTTAAATACTTTGGAGACGCTTTAATGCTCGATTGGCTGGCAGCAAAACTCGCAGATCATTGCGTGAAAATACCCAAATATGCATTCATAAGCGTTTGTGTGTATGTGCACACATACATACACATATGCAGCATAAATCACATAATCAAAGCCTACGCGCACGCATATCCAACAACAATAACAGCGACTGCAGCCAGCGCAACTTGCTTCTGCCATTAGATTCGTTACACATATCAGACAGCCTTGAAGCATCAATATCCGACACGGCTGTTGCAAGTTTATTTGTTGGTTATAAGTTTTCGTGGTTGGTGTTGCCGCATTGCATGCGTTAGGTGAACGCACGCATGTGACAGCCAGTGATTGCGCAACTCGAAAGTCAAAATGAAGAAAGGTGTAAGCCGACGATGCGGGCATGATGGGCGATGAGAAGACGTGAACGAGGCAAACGTGTGAGGGGCACAACACAGCAGAGCGCAGGGAGGAATATCGTGTTGCATTGCACCGTGCACTGAGAATCCCGAAATATCGATGAGACCAAAATCATTCTAATTACGCATGTCCGTGGCCGACCGGCTGGCTGGCGGACTTGGCCTACAGCGAATTATTAAACTTTGTTCCCCTCGCCAAATGCAATGCACGGCAGCGGCAACAGCAGCGGAGGGCTGGAGGAAGCGTATTGGAAGTGTGTGGCGCAACCAATTGGCATTGGTCACACTGAATATTAGACGAATTTTGATGGCATTAATTTGACGTCAATGCTCCGAAGCGAACGAACGAACGCACCGCGGCAGCATAATTCATAAGCTGTAATGGAGAAAGATATTT